TTTTTCCGCCATTGTTTCACTGATTGTAACAGAAATGAATCAACGTCCAAGCAGAAATTTGTTTTCACCAGTGAGTAATCGAACCACTCACAATATAAAATAATTGAAACTTTTATTCTATTAAATGTTTAAGTTGACAACTTTTTTGATTTTAACAAACTTAACAAAGAAAAATAGCCAATTGCAAATAACAATTTTAAAACTTGGTTTGCAGGAAAAATCAAAACTGATTGTAAATTTATCCAAATTAACAGCATTTAAAAAAAATGGCTAGTGTGAAAATTATTCTGGAAAACGCAAGAGTCATTCAGATCAATTTTTCTCGACACAGAGACCTTTTTTGAACTCTGCGTTGAAATGATATCATAATTGACCCTCTGAAAGTTTTTTCTTGAGGTACTTGTAATGGGATAGCAAAAAATTCACTCGACGCCCAAAAGTAACTTTCAGCCCTTTTGTCGGAACAATAAAAATTAAGCTACTTTAAGACAAAATATTGAACTCGACTCATTTCGTAAATCGATATTAAGTCGTTTCTTTTAACAACATTTAAAAAAGCCTCAAACGAATTATTTCTCTAGCTTTTTTGTTTGCACAATATGAATGGAAATACTATCTGAAGGGCTTTTTTTTCATAGAACCTTCATTTGTACATAAAAATCTTGAACTTTTGAAGCCTTTTTCCCTTTTATGTCAAATAACTCAGCGAAACGTTTCGTTGTCAAATAGGCTAATGCAATCGTGATTCTTAAATTTTTATAATAATATACGGTCACGATATGCATTTTGAGCAAAAATAATTTTTTGCAACCACACAAAGATAGATTTTAGATTTTCATTGAATTTTCATCGAATAACTCAAATTTTATAGTTAAGAAAAACTGCCAACAGTAGTTGTGGCAGATTAACATTGACTTGTAATTGATTAAATTGCCTGTATTGTTAAAGTTGTCCAAAATGAGAAAAATGTGTCAAAAACTTCTCAAAACTTTGTCAAAAAATTGTATGAAAATTGTACGACTAGCATTTTTTCCACAGATTTCATGTACCATCGATATCAGGTCTCCTAATGGTCTCTATGTAACTTAGCATGAAAACAAGGTAGACGGGGGGCTATTCTGATGACCGAAGCTACAAATGAGCGAATCTTTTTAACCAATCAAATTCCTTCAAACTGACTAGTTTTTCAGCCTTTACTGTCTGATTTTCAAAAACAGAACCTGGTGGAGTTCTGATTGGCTAACATAACTTTCGGCCGTTTGATCTTTCTGAAATGTGGGTTTCTTTCATACATTAGCATACAGTGAAATGGGATGAGTTGGAAGGAAACGTCAATGATGATAGACGTCAGAATTGATCAAGCAAAAATCAATTGCCTAATGTTCGAATTCCTTCTTGATGTGGGATGTTGGAGATAGCTGTGAAGTGGGCCAAGGGTACAAAATGTTCCAATCAGCACCTGTCAAGTTTGTTCACTCCCTCAAAATGGCATCTCAGCCTTAAAATGGACTAGTGCGAAGCAATCTACAATACCGATTGACAGCATGAAGACCACATGATTGCCTTTAAAAGGAGGGAAAATCTTTATTTTCACATTCTAATGCACAGGAGCAAAATGATAACAGTGTTTAAGTGTTGAATTCCAACAAAAACTGTTGTTAAAAGGAACTATGAAAATTGAAAAAAGTCTTCCTTTTTCGATTTTTTGGAACCAGTTTAAAACTAGTATTTATAACCAATTGCATTCTAGATAAAACTATCTGTATCAAATATTACTTACTAACCAATCATGATCCATAACTAACACTGACAATTATTTGTAGTGCTGAAACTACTTGTAGTTTCTGCACCAGAACAATTTGATTATAACTTAGAAGACAGTTGTTGTTCCGACTTTCGATACGAAAGTAACGGAATATTCGTGCCCGGGGTGGTTTTTTTTTCCTCAGACAAATTTCGACTTTTTAACTAGCATTTTTGACGGAATTTTTTTTATCATTCGAAAGGTATTGTTGTCCTGAGCTCAAATTTGAAAAGATAGTTCACCTGTGATTTTTTTTCGTAAAGTTACGGGGGTTTAAAGATTGCCATTTTGGCCAATTTGGGACAATTAACGCGCGATATATTTCGCGCTATTAACGCGTAAGCAGAGAGTTAATCCGTCTTAGAAATCGTTCCGAATTGGTTGAAAGAAGCTTATTTGCCAAAATTGATTTGTTACAAGGAGCGAAATCTATCCTTTTGAACTTTATCTGGCGTGTGGGGGGATGATTTTTATAAAAATTTCAAATTTTAGAAAAAAAAAATTTTCATTTCGTTTTTTTTTTCATTTAATTTTTTAATGTTATTACTGCTCCATAAACCTTTAAAGACAGTCGGAACATTCAGGACTTCGCCTTGATACGAGCAGTCTTGTTCTCTTTTGGAACAATTTCTAGATATCTAACCCAAAAATTCCAGTATACGCTAGATCTATTGAGACTAGGAGATATAAGAGTAAGATTAAGATTGGTATTAAACTAAGAAGTTGCACGAACGAAATTCCGGCCGAAAATAAGACAGCGTGACGAACAGACGGTGTACCTTATCTGAAATTACTCTATGAGTAAGCCACCCCGGACTTAAAATCATTTTTAAAAAAAAACTACCGCTTTTTCGTTTGTGCGGGTGAGAAACTGAAAGCATTCTTAGAAAAAACAGCTAATAATAATGAAGTTAAATTTGAAAAAATTCCTTGACTAGTCTAAAATAAAAAGAAATGGAAAAAAATGCCTATTTTTCCTCTAAAAAGCAATTATCTTGAAGCGATTTTTTTTTCAGCACCGAGGAAAGATTTTGAATAGTTTCAAACATCAAAAAAATCACGATTGAACGATTTTCAGTATAATTAGTGATTCATGTTTTTGTTTGAATTTTGGAATTATTTGAAGCAACGATCTAATCTCGATTCAGAAGGCTTTTACAAAAGTTTATCACTCGAACCTTTATTTCGGTATCTTATTTTGTGTGGTAAAACAAAAAACATTCACATACATATTTCCTTCCCACTTTGTGGTCGGAGTGCAAATCAATCAATTTTAATAATGCACCCAAATTATATCTAATTTCTGATTTGACGGGTTAGGCGGTGGCAACGCATGTCAGCTTCACGCCTCAACCTAGCACCATCTTGCCAACACCGTCACTGGGAATGTTTTAAAGGAAATCCGATACAAGACCAAAATGATTTGAAAAGATATCAGATTTGATAATTACTTCCAACTCAGATCAACAAAGATTCAAAGCAATGTATCTTGAATACAACAAAGCAATTTCTTACAACAAAGCAAAGCATAAGATCGTTGCCAAAAAAAAACAGACGAATTTCAGGTCAGACTGACCCAATTAAGTTATTTGCCTAGCGTTATATGTTGACCAAAACTGGCTTTCGCTAAATCAAAACTTCAATGTTTTAAAGGCAATGAATGCCAGCCTCTCAATGAAAGTTCTCGTAAGCGTAGGGGAGTAAGCGTGTTTTTTATATAAAATGTGGAAAAACATTGAAATATTACGAACATTCAATTATTAAACGTCAAAATTACAATGAAAAACCAACAAAAAACAAATTTTACGAGTGTTTATGTTCCTCACAGTGCCGTAAGAAGTCAGACGGTCCTGACAATCGAAAATATTCTGGATGAATATCTAATAACAACATCTAAATGTACAAATCATTTGTTTGTGTCGACGTTATTTTTAATTTATACGAAAAAGCAAAAGACTTTCCACACTGATAAGAATACAAAATGAAAACAATCATTTCCTTCAAAAAGGAAAACTAGCAACCAGAGAAACTAGGATCTTCAACTTTAAATCTGATCATTATGGAGTGATTTGCAATGCAACATCTCAAAAAAGTGAAAAAGAATCACTTATTTTTAAAATCCGACCATGGTACAAATTTAAACTTTTCGACCGTTTTCGGAAGAACTATGCAAATCGGTATATAAAAATTTTTTGATTTTGAAACAAAAATGAACCGAGTGGTATTTGCAGAGCTTTTTTAAAGGAAAAATTCAGAATCAACTTTGAATCTTCTTTATTCGAAACAACGTCAATTAGAAAATGTTGAAGCACTGGATTCATAATGATGTGAAAACTGCATAAGAAACACCAGTCAAGAAGTTTTTTATCAAGCCGGAACCACCGAGGCCAGGAGTAAATTTGAATCTTAGCTCGTTATCTGCTGAGGCTGAGTTCGTTATCTGCTGAGTCAGAAAAAAAAGAAAACTTTATCCTAACAAATTGCAAATGGATTTCAATTATCCCAGCAGAGAATGTTTAACGACTTGTCTCCGGGTGCCAGTGACACACGGACTCCAAATCGTGGGCCTACTCAGTATAAAAATTGACCTCGCACAGTTAGGCATTGGTTGAGAGTTTGCGTGAGTTTGCGTTCAAACTTTTCAACCCCATAACCTAAAACAAAGTGTCGCAAGCGATAGATCTATTTAACTTTAAGCTCAGTCCGGATCGAGATCTTGCGCTCAAAAACGGATTATAAATTTAGCAGTTTGAGTGGTTTTTAAGCAAAATACGAACTTTTTCAGCAATTTAAGCAGTTTCACAGCAAGGTTTTTTATAAAAAAAATTCCGGGGGGGGGGGGGGGGGGTGGTGAAGTGGTTACATTTACGGCTCTCAAACGAAAGGTCGGATGTTTGAAGCCCACCATGCTCCGTAGTCGTTGCTTCAGGGCGAGGCACTACCACTCATCCCAGAAAATAACCAATAAAAATTGAATGCAGTTCTTAAGCAGGGAACAACAGCGGTTCTCCGTAACGAGCTGTACAGCCCGTATGTTGGTCCTTTCACTCGTGGATAAATGATCTTAATTAATTCAACTAAGTTTCAGAGTTTTTCCAGCAAGATTTTAGCCATTTGGGCATCAATAGGGCACCATTAACTTTCAGATAGTATCCGTCTGGCTTATCATGCAACTGTCTTTTGTGTTTTCTGTTAGGATTCGGAGGGGAGGACGGCACTGATCACGTCTGTGGTGTCGATCCCGGAGATCAGGACTCGGACCAAGATGGTGGCGATGATCTGCGACAAGGGCGGAGACACTGACATACAGGACAACCACGGAGGCACTGCACTCTACTACGCCTGTCAGCTGCGAGCCAACGAACTAGTCAAAATACTCAGTCAGTCAATCAAGCAACAACTTTCATAATTTATTGTAACTGTTATCTAATCATATTCAGGGGCGGATCTAAGATTTTCTCGAGGGGGGGGGGGGGGGGGGGGGGGCGGATTTTCGAAAAATTTTCGAAAATTTTGTCCTTTTTTTTAGGTCGACCAAATTCAAATTGATTTTCTGAGCTCTCCCAAACCACTATAAAGACCAGGAAAATTTTTGAAAAAAGGCGTTTTAAGGCACTTTTTAAAAATTTTTGACAAAAAAAGATCGTGTTTTTTCGGCGCGCGCTCCCCCTCAAAATTAGTATTTATTGGCGCCTAAGGCGGTTTAGAAAAATTTAGGGGTCCGTCAGCCAAAAATGGATATCTCAAAATAGTTCAAAGGGGGGACCCTTTGGGTCGGTAGGGGGTCGAATCCCTGAGGGGGGCGTCCTCCTCCCCCCCCCCCCTAAATCCGCTACTGATCATATTGCAAAAACACAATAGCAACAAGGGTACCTAGTAACGAATATCCTCCTATAAAAAATTAAATCAATGCTTAAGCATATCAAATATTTGTACCTAGTAACGAATATCCCCCTTCCGCAGCAAGAGGGGGTATATAGTTAAAGAGATCCAAACAAGCCATATCTTACAGTGTTACACGACAGCTTTTTTCATGCTAAGCACGCTTCATTTTGCAGAAACTTACCAAGTAATTAGCGCGTCACACACTACACTGTCAAGATAATGTAGTCTAATTACCTCACACTCTGTAGAGCCAAGCGTTTTCAGAGAAACTGGAAACAGTCAAAGTTAATCAATTGAACAATATCTCATCCTTTACGCTTCAAATCATAGCAACTTAATTCGAGTAACGCGAAGCTACTAGCGAGTCGTGAAATGAGTATGATGTACTGGAATTATGTTGGTATGGTATGTGACGTTAGTTGGTTGCGTTTGTGGGTAATTGAACATGTTGGTTACCAATTTATCTGAAAATGGTGGCCAATTTTCAGGGTGCATAGACGTTTTCCCCAATTTTGAACCGGTGCATACACATTTTTGTCCTTGACAAAACAGCCCAAAATTATAGAGTTTTACCAGACATTTTTGTTCCAAACAGAATTGTCCGAAATTTTATGGAAATAATTTCTTTGATTTGATCTTGTGATCTTTTATGCTTTGTTCTTTTGAGCTTGTGTGATTGATCTGTAGTTAGATTTCATGCACACCGTAAGCCATATAACAGTCAACATGAAATAAAACTTTCAAGAACTATTAGAAAGAACAGCGCGTTTGGCCGAGCAGCGAAGTCACAGATTTCAAGATCAAAAATTCGAAAGTTCAAATCTCAGGTCCGAAAAAAGTTTTTGTAATTTGGTCAAAATTTGAAACTGAAACACCAAAAAACGTGTAAACAAGGTCAAAGTCAAACTGGACTGACTCAGTTGAGCCAAAAAGAATAGGATGGAAGAAACTTGATTACATTGATCATTTGGCCGTTTCAAAACGAGTCTAGCACAAATTTGAATTTTTTTGGGAAAAAGTTCAAACTAGAAAATTTTATTGAAAATTCTAGCTTTACAAGGCTAGCCTTAGAAAAAAAATTACTTGGAATCATAGTTTGCTGATGCTGCTTCACCTTTTTAGGAAACTCGGAAGTTTACTTGGGTCGTGGGCAGCAGCTAATGCGGAAATTTTTTTGTCAAGTTTGACATAAAGAGAATTTTATAACGTGATAATTCCTGCCCGGCACACATTTTGCGTCCTGGAAAATAAATGGTGGTTGCCTGGCGTTCACGAGTTTTTTGAAGTTGCTGTTCCACCTTCAACAGCATTTTTGGTTTTGGGAAGCCCGGTTACAAAATTTGGTGACAATTTCAGCTGTCAATGTCGAGTCTGTGATTTTGACGTGCTCCATTCGCCGAGAGCCGATCAATATAATTGTCCTCAGAGTAGTTGATGATCGGGAGGGCTGTATCAGATCAAGACAAGTCTTCTGAAGAGTTTCAAAAGTAGTAAAATAATCACTTATTGACAGGAAAGGGGTACTTAGTAGCATTCGGACTTCCTCGCAGAATTCTGGATCTGGTTTTTAGTCGTTGGTACTCCCACCAGACAGAATGAATGTGACGCCAGACGCTGTGGTACATATGGAAATTGTAGTATTCTAATTGTATGTTTTCGGATATTCAAGTAAAGGCAATGTGAGAGCTATTTCAAAACCAATGGTTGCTCATTTGGGAGAATCTATATCGAAAAAGATCAAAAGGCGATTATAGGGATCTTCTTTCTGGCCTGGAAGTATGCATACTCAATGGGAATCAGAATTTCCTCGACTGATGCATGGATGGTGTATATCTGATAGAACACGCTACGGGTCGTAGAAAAGGTGCCAATTCAGAGCCATCATCGAGTCCTGGAAGAGTGGTGAAAACCACTACTTGCTTGGAATCATTAGGTCCAGTGTCAAAAAGAAGGAAACGATCGCCGCTTTCAGCAATCTGGCGGTTCAAATCAGTTTAAAAATTGGGTTTGTTTTTCCTGTTTTTTTCTGATAACGGTCCTCTGGTCGGCCAAATAGCTCGAGATTACTGCTGGAGTCTCTCTGTTGATATCTCTTTGGACGAAAAGAATTTTTTGAAGTGGTGGAACGAATTGTAAAACACGAGTAGTCATCTGCAACAACAGCTCGTGTTTTATGAACTGTTCTGAATTTTCGTTTTGAAACATAGGCTGGATCTGGAAAATGACTGTGATCGTTTTTGATAGTGACGTTCTCTTGGAAAGTGCGCACACGGCCATTGCATTTAGATAAAACACATCGCCACGAAATTGAGGTGTCTGTTAATGTTCGATGTTTGAAATATGCCAAGTGCCACGTTGTTTAATTTGCCATAAGTGTTTCCATTGTAAACACGAACTCGAAAGCAATAGCAATGAATTATAATCTCTCGTGTCTACGTCTGGTAAGCAAAATTATCAATCAAGCAATAATTGTCAGGTATTTGTAATGTATTTGAGTCCTGTTTTAGTTTTGTCTCTTATATGCTGCTCAAAGTAAACTCTGGTCTGATTTCTCAGTTGCGTGGTCTTGTCAATTTAATCCTTCCTATTGAGAGCTTATCAAATTAATCCGGTCATTAATTAGTGTGGCAAAAATCCGGAAAATTTTTGGACAATTTTGTCTGAAAACTGATTGTCCCTGCCAATTTTTGCATTTTGGACTGCTTTTCCGGGCTATAAATGTCCTGGACACAAATTTCCAGACTCACTTTAATCCACCCTTCTGAAAATGTTTTCAAGATCATCATTACATCTTCTAAAAATTCATTCTAGAGTACTTGCACAATTGTGCTACGTATCTTTGATCTTGGGACGACACACTTGAGACTATCTGTTTATCTGCTGCTATATGAAAAACAAATCATGTAGGTAAAATATACAAATTGCATTGTTTTTGCAAATAAAAAGCCATTATTGCCAGGATCTCGCAAAAAGGATGGGAGTATTGCAAAAAAGCTACAAGACAGTAGTCCTACGCAGAAATTGCGGCAAGAATCTTGCAAGGTTTATATTCCAAGAGCACTAGGGTATTCATGTTCTTCTGTTGGCAGCTCGTACAAAAAGACAATTGGCAACTAATTTTGAACCATAAAGGCCATTGGGTTCAGCAACTTTGAGAAAATCTGAGAATTGGTTTTTGGCCATGTTTTTGTAGGTTTTAAAACATGCAGGTGTAAGAGCATTTTTCTGAGCTTAATCGCGTTAAACGCATGGCTTTTTCAAGAAAGGCTGCTTTTAGTTGGTCGAAAATTGATGTTTTATAAACAACCGGAGAGCCTTCGGGCGGAGGGGGAGGGGGGGGGGGGGTTAAATTGCTAATGGGGGAGGGGAGACCATCAACCCCACAAAACTGCCATTTCTCGTTGGTATTTTGTTAATACACTTTCAAGCCCGCCTGTAAGGGTGTCAAGTTATTTAAACGTGAATCACACATTTGAAGCAAATGACATCGAAACAAATGACAGAGTAGTAACAAGATAGGGGATCTATTTTACAATCCCCACTAAAGTATCTTCTAAAGAATCTCTACTCCTATAAATTATTACAGTAAATTAGCACAAAGCTTTCTATTGAGAGAAAAAAGAGCTTTATGTGATAGCAAAAAAAGGAATTTTAATTTTGCTGCAATCTCATTGGTCGAAAACTCGACTAACTAAGCAATCTTTCCTCTTTCTTGGAAAGATGATGGTTAAGTAAATGCAGATTGGGTTGTGGTGCTTTACAAGTTGTCAACGAAAGTTCCGAGCACTCAGCTATCATTTCAAAGGTTATAATGAGGACCAGGGTCGGAGCTCGGATTTTCTCGAGAGGGGGGGGGGAGTCGGATTTTCAAAAAATTTTCGAAAATTTTGACGACCTTTTTTGGTCGTCCAAATTGATTTTCCGAGCACTCCTAAAGCACTAAAAAGACGCTGTATTGGCCACAGGCAAACTTTTTGAAAAACAGTTCAATAAAAGCCGTTTTTAGGAACTTTTTGGAAAATTTTGACAGAAAAACGCGTTTTTTTTGCGCGCACCCCCTCAAAGTTAGTATATATTGGCGCCCAAGGCGTCTTTAAAAAATTTTAGGGGTCAGTACAAAAATGGATTTCTTAAAAAGTACCAAAGGGGGACCCTTTGGGTCGGAAAGGGGTCGAATCCCTGAGCAGGGGGCGTCCGCCCTCCCCGTCCCCTCCCCCCTAAATCCGCTCCTGATGAGGACATTGGAAAAAATCAAAAGGAGCTACAACGCTGGTCTTGGGCCTTTTAAATTTAGTTTTTACTTGTTAAAGCAATGTAAAATGTATTGCTGTGATTGTTTTATTTCGCCAAACCTATCATTAAGAGAAAACGGAATTACGGCTTTGAAGAGGAAAGTATGAAAGTTGTCAATTTTTGTAATATTTTTTGTCATCATCGGGGTAACTTTTTGGAAACTGAAAGTGGTACATTTGATATATCACACGACTGCGTTCTT